CTCTTGTGCTAAAGAAGCACAGCCTGAGCGCAGAGCCAGGGCTTGGACAGGGTGGTTGGTGTGCAATTTAGGCTTAGGCCTTGGCAGCATGTCAAGGGAGCAGGCACTGCTCATGTGCTGAATGTCCATCGTTAGGCCCTGCAGAGTCAAGGATGCAGCAAGTCATTATTTTTCCCCTTCTTCCTTCAGGTGCTACCAATCCTCCACATCCTGCGCAGCTGCACATCATCCGCGCAGCAGAGCACGTTCATGCCCTTCCTGTGCCAGGCGGTGGTCATCCTCATCCGCTGCCACAAAGAGGTCATGATTGACAACTTCTCCCGGCTGCTTGGGCCCACAGACAGGTATCAGCACTCCTGCCTTTGCTGTTGGTGCAGCCCCAGTTGTAGCTTGCCTCTGTCAGAGGAAGTAAGGAGGAATGCTTCCCGGGAGGAAACACAACAATTTCCTAGTCACGACTTGTGATTCTCCTTTTTCTAGTGAGATGTGGAGGAGAATAAGAGAGTTTTGTCTACAACAGTGGAGCCGATAGAAGAGCGAAGCGAAAAGAGAAAAGGAAGAGAAGAGAGAGAAAGAGAAAAGAGAAAAAAGAGAAAAGAGAAAGGGAAGATGATCTTAAAATTTGTATTATTTATTAAAAATACATAAACAAACAAACAAACAAACAAATAAATAAATAGTACTTTTTTTTTTTTTTTTTTTTTTAACCAAGTCTTCATTTTAATAGCTGCTGTCTCTTCTCCATACTTGTTACAGAATCACAGTCACCAAATGTCAGGGATTGGAAGAAATCTCAAAAGCTCATCTAATCTAATCCCCCTGCTGGGAACACCTAGGTTAGGTCACACAGGAATGCGTCCAGGCAGGTTTTGAATGTCTCCAGAGAGGGAGACCCCACCACCTCTCTGGCAGCCCGTTCCAGTATTCTGTGACCCTCACCATGAAGAAGTTTTTTTTCTAGCATTAATGTGGAACCTCTTCTGTTCCAGCTTGTACTCATTGCCCTTATCCTGTCACTGGATGTCACTGAGAAAAGCCTGGCTCCATCCTCCTGACAGACATCCTTGACATATTTAGAAGCGTTCAGTAGGTCACCTCTCAGTCTCCTCCAAGCCAAAGCTCCCTCAGACTTTCCTCGTAAGGGAAATGCTCTGGTCCCTTCCTCATCTTTGTGGCTCTGTGCTGGACTCTCTCAAGCAGTTCCCTGTCCTTCTTGAACAGAGGGGCCCAGAACTGGACACAATACTCCAGATGCGGTCTCACCAGGGCACAGTAGAGAAGCAGGAGAACCTCTTTTGACCTCCTAACCATGCCCCTTCTAGTAGGTCCCAGGGTGCCATTGGCCTTCTTGGCCACAAGGGCACAGCGCTGGCTCATGGTCACCCTGCTGTCCACCAGGACCCACGGCTCCCTTTCCCCTACGCTGCTCTCCAACAGGTCAGTCCCCAACCTATACTGCTACCTGGCATTGCTCTTGCCTAGACACAAGTCTCTAGCTTGCCCTTGTTGCATTTCATTCCATACAAAATAACTAGAAGATAAATTAATGGAGGAACAGAATTGCAGCATTTCTTATTTTCAATAGTTCATTGTTTTTCTGCTTGTTGAAGCCTGTTGTTCACTTCTCAATTAGTAGGTGTGAGGTATTGCTTTTGGGCCTTGCATACATTCCCAACTAATTTTATTCTATGAGTCTACAATAACACCTGTTTTCAGTGTTGCCACCTCCTTCTGTATGGTAAAAACAAGCAGCAATAAATGAACCATTTTAAAAATGTGAACAGATATTTTCCTGCATTATTTTCCGTGCTCTCAGAACTGGATTTCACTCATTCTCTCTTACCGCGAACGTACAGTATTTAACACTGTGCCTTGCAGTCTGTACACAGGGAGGCCATGAAATGAACACGGCAGTTTGTGGGGAACGTCAACTGTGTGTTGAGAGCCCCATCCAGTGGCTGAGTTGTGGTTCAGCACAGAAACGTGTTAAGGCAAAAAGCATCCGATCATTTTCAACTCGATGTACAGGAGCAGCTGCATGGCACAGCGGGAAGCTAAGGGTCACCGCTCAAATCCCAGATCAGAACCCACTTAAAGGTGCTAAGTAATCAATCATGAAAGACTTGGTCCTACTCTTGTTTACTTAGAAGAGGATCTGTGTGTTCAGCTCGACTTACATTGTAACATATCTATATAGAGAGAAATGTATAGACTTACAATGACTGAGCATGACGAAGACAGCTTTCACTCCATTAAAAACTCTATTTGTTACAAGTCCTAAGTACTGATCTGCACAGACTGTTATTAACTGGGTTTCCACACAAATCTACTCCAGGCCCTACTACTAGAAGAACAGTATCTGAAATATTTAAGCAACCTAACATAAAGCTGAATCCTGAACTTTATCTAATTGCCTAGAAAATTGTCTTTTTGATAATTTACACAGTGGGAAATCCAATTAATAATGAGTAGCCTGCCTCTTCTTTAACAATCCTCGTTTCTACAGAGCTCATTGGATGAAATCTTGATGCCTGTTGTTTCAGCAAATCACCTGCGGTAAATTAAAATCATATAAGCATTGCTACCATCACTGCTGCATTGGCAGCAAATTTGCTGTGTCCTCCCCGCTCACAGTCCTCTTTGGCTCCCTTTGCTGTGGTAATCATGAACAGAGTCGCTACTTCTATCTCTCATTTCAGTGGGAACAGAACATTTCAATCTCAAACATGGCTTTGAAAATTTCAACCTAACACTTTATAATAATTCCAAATCTAGTAAGCATTGCAAGTTGACAAATGATGAGAAACACATTCCCCTGATTCCAGCAATTAGGTTCCTTGGAGACATCTTCAAGACTTCTTTCATCTCCAGAGTTGTATGCCAGAAGGTATAACTGTTTAACCTAAACAGTTCCTAAATTGGACCTTTTATAAGTAAAATGAAAAAAGACTATAAAGAAGAAAATTCATTGAAGGTAATTTATTTGCATACTGTCAGACTAAATACAGCGTCTGACAGTGGGCTTTGCAGTTAAGTGGAGAGCATATCTCAGTGTATTCTTCCCACTGTTGTACAGTCATAAAAAAGAGAGCAGAGATAGAAATATGCAGCTGGAGCAGGGGTATGTGGGGAAGGTGGAAATGTGCTACTGATTAAAACAGTGCTGTTAGAGCATCCACTCAACAACAACAACAAAAAACACTAATTCCCTGTCAGATGTGTTTGTTCAAAGGGCTGAACAAACAGCAAACTGCATTCTCAAGATGTCTATGGCACTGTGCTCAGCTTTTTTGTGTGTGTCTAGAGGACTCTGAGTTTGATAGCAAGGACCCGAGATGTGAGTTGGTTCCGTGTTTGAAACTGATTTTAGCACTCATAGCATTCATAACTCTTTAGAAGAATTAATACTTAGCAGAAGCCTGACTAAAAAGACCATACAAGTAAATTTCACCCGAATTACAGTTTCACTGATGGAAAGCAAATTTGAAGGCTGTAGCTTGTAAAACAACTATATATCCAGTATAAAAATGCTCCTCATTACACTTTTGTTGAAAATCTGGTGTTTGAATAGAAGTGAAAAATATTAAGTCGAACAAGACAAAGAGGGAGGGAAGCTCTAATCTAGTTTTGTCTTACTTATTTCTAACTACTGTAGTGAAAGTTCTGCAATTTATCCCACACTATTCTAGCACCTCATTCCTAAGTAAGTTTGCTGGTACACATTCACTGTGCCATGCACCCAACACAAACTTGGACCCCAGAAACCTCAATGAAAAAGCCCCATTTAGTTGTAAGACATGCTTCAGACACTTTTATGAAGCAAGGGAGTAAAGCTTCTACTTAGTGAGTAGTCATCAGGAAGCGAAGGACAAAATTGAGGAACCTTTCAGAAGAATGAAAATACCATTCTGAATGTAACAAAGGGAAGAAGGGCAAAGATCAAATTGCTTGCTTATACCACGGAAGAAATATCATGTAAACTTGATTAGCAACTTTTTTGTAGCCTCTTCTAAAAATGACCCTAAACAAATTGACAGTCAAAAAAAGCTGTTATACTAAACTCAGCGTTCTTAGTAGGGGCCTCCAGTTACAGCAGTTAGTGCTAACACTATTCAAATCTAGGTACCCAGTAAGCCATACACCATCATCTGTTTGTTTCTCTTGACTCCTATGAGGATGGACAGCAAGTAACTCTGAGTGCTTGTATTAGGGTCTAAGTTTGATTCATCCTCTGTAAGGATCACTGCTCTGCCAGTGGTGGCTGAGGCAGCTAAGTACTGTAAGCATTTGTAGCAAAGTGCTGTGAAGTACCTTGTGACAAGACTGCAATTATGTCTTCCCACAGTGACTTGACTTGTCCATTATGGACATTACAGCTTTTTCAAAAATTGCACTATATTTTTAAAAATATACACACTAAGATAGGTCTGGCAGAAGAGTTATGCTAAAGTGAACACTACAAAATCCTTCATCTCACCTTGCATGGATATAAGTAGTATTTATTAGGGTACAAATTCAGCAGCTTCTTCACAGGAAAGAGAATTGGATAATAGCTCAGCTCCACATTGCTTTTTAAGCCAACGCATACAGGCTCTGACAGTTATTTCCAAGAGCCAACTGAAAGTTCAGAATAGTATTTCAGTAGAAAATGTCAACAAAATCTAAATAGTAGCTGAGGACAGAAGGTTATTCTTAGAAAATTGCCACAAAAGCTAATTACTAAACCTGCATAGGGAACTCTGATTTCCTATAGCTGTTGCTCTAGTAGAGAGCTTAAATTATCCAAAAACATTTGCTTTAATTATTCTGTTCTTAGGAAACTACGATTTGATTTTTTTTTAATTTTTGATTTGAAGATGAAAGGATATATCACCAGAGCTCCCTTTCCAGCAAAAACTTTTATTTTTTAACAATCTCTGCTTCTTGTAACATAGCCTCTAATACCATTCAAATCTATTAGAATCTTATGTGAGAAGCTTAACTATGTAAGAGACTCTTTTCATCGCATGGTCTGGGATGTATTAAGTTAACACGTTCAAAATGCAACAGATGTGTTGTGAATGTATTGAAA